TTGACACATGTACGTAAGATTATCGTTATATTAGTACCCGAGATTTGGCCGCTAGAATATTAGCTAATATTTGTTACTCCTTTAATGAAAAATAAATGTATAACGATAATAATCGCTTTATTTTTTACTAAGTACGTGTTATGTGAATGTATATATTTACCACCCTCGGGGGTACTTACTAATATATACCACAGATTTTTTTTACAACGAAATTACTAAAAAAAAAAGATAGGGAGATACAGTACATGTATTATTCTACGGAGGGTATTTTATTTCTCGTTAAGAAATTGAATATCAAAAAAAAGGATGAGAAAATATTAATATGTTAGTAACTAATTAAAAACTTGATTCATTTTGTTTTAATTCAATAAATGAAATCTTTCCTATTTTATTTAATTATTTTGACACGTATTCAATAGAACGTTTGCTGGTCGTTTATACTCTTTGAAACAGAGATGGCAACTGACATCGAAATGACCCAAGTTATTATTCATTAGGTCATTTGTCATATGATTTATTTTTCAACCAATAGAGTTTCAGTGAGTTATTTATTCATTTTTATAATGATATTACAAATTTTAATTTCAATTTTATTGGATAAAAGAAGGTTTTGAGATCACTTGACTTTTGAAATGACAATTAGGTCATTCAACCTTTTAAATGACTAGTCATTGTCATCGGAGTCATTTGGGTCATTTAAAGTCATTTACTATCACTGCTTTGAAATATAGTGTTTTTTTAAAAAAAATAGTATACAATATTTTAAAAAGTCGAGACTCTGTCGTTGTTGTTAACGAAAACTTACGTTGTGTTTGGATATTCTTTCGGGTATTTTTTCAATCATTCTCAATATCAATATCGAACTCTTGTGAGACATATGCTAGCATTACATTATAAACTAAAATATAAATATATATACAATTAAAGTCGTAGTATAACTCATAAATTTTACCTTCATTTGTTCATTTTGAATATATGTATCTATATCATATTCAGTAGTCACATATTCGTTTGGAACAAACAAGCTGACACTTGACATTCTTATACATTTGATTTGAATTTTAATTACTGTGAAATGCTAACATGATTTATATTTCAAACTAAAAGTACCTGTCTCAATTGTAATTGAAATTAGTTTTTTGGTAAAGACTCGACTGGTTTAAACTGCGTTTGAGTGTATTTATTTTCCGTTCATTTTGTAGGAATGCTTTTTTATAATTCCATTTCCTTATCAAGTTTATTTAATTTCAGCTTTTCTAGTTTAAGACACTTTAATTTCTTCATGATCTTCTAAAGGGCTATATAGTACTGAAAATGCAAAGTATTCAAATCTGTTGCATATTTAAATTTGATAGACCAGGTAAAGTCATAAAGTTTCATAGCAGTTGGTCTGTTTTCTGGAATAGGATCCCAACATCTTTCAATAATAAATTTGCACCATCCGGGAACATTATTTGATATCATAGGTCGTATTTCTTTATAGGTGTCGTACACAAGATATATTATGACTTCGCTCACCAAATGGTCGTTCACCTGTTATGAGCTCGTATGTAATCATCCCAAAGCTATAAATATCTGCAACTTTAGTGTATGATTTTTTCATTTAGTATCTATGAACTCATATAAGAAAGTACTCCACAAATTTCTTGATCAGATTTTCTATATTTGCTGGTTTAGTAAGTCCCAAATCAGCAATTTGAGAAGTTTCAAGCTGTATTAATATCTTTTCAGGATGAAGATCACGATGCAAAAATTCTTTGTGAATTATTTACAGATCATGCCATGGAGAATTTTAGTTAAAAGTTCTAATTTTCGTTTCCAAGTCAATATTCTATAGTTAGAATTCATATTGTTCTTGTTAATTCAAGAATGTTTGTATTAATGAATTAACAAAGTAATATAATAGTAAAAGAACAAAGATTATATGATTTATAATTAATGGAGTTCACTAAAGATTCTAAAGATCTTCTGTGGTAACTTGTATGCAAACTAACTTAATATTAAATGTAAAAATAAGGACAAAAAGAAGAATTAAATAAAAGATAAATCTAAGTTAAAATAAAAGTAAAATAACTACTAAAGAAAATAATAGGACTTATTGAGAATATCAATAAAGAAAATAAAAACAAAATAACTAAAAATAAAATAACTAGAACTTATTGATATAACCTAAAAATAATAAACTCAAATTAAACAAAAAATAATAAAGTCAATTGCTTATTTAGGATGGAGAAGTATCCACTACCTGAAGTCAAGCTTTGAAAATAATAGTATATTCACAAGTATAATATTACAAGTAAGAACTTTGTTATTTTTATTAAATCAAAATATAAGAGTTTCTAGTAATGAGAGACTCTTTTTTAATAGTTTTTTTGATTTACATATCACTATTTATAAATAATACTATATTAAAGACTGAAAAATAAATGAGAACTTGCATAAGGTAATAGAAAATAAAATACACTATAAATTTTAGTGGCTAGAGATAAGAAAAATAATAAGATCATAGTAAAAGAAAGATTCTAAAGAAAAGTTAAATAACACAAGATAAATTATAAGAAAATACAAAATAAAAATATAAATAGTAATAAATATAAAGATAAAATAAAGAATGATATATAATTGGTTTAAGCTAATAAAATTTGAATTAAAAGATTCTTGTTGGGATAGATATAGAATGTACCAATAGCAAAAAGATTAATTTGAGAAAGAAAAATAAAAGATGAGAAGAAAAGTGAAAATGTTTTAAGTATGCAAAAATGTAATTTGTTGATGATTATCTTAGCGATATCCACGAATTTTGTCAAATAAATATTAAATGTGATTGTGCAATGTCAAATAAATATTAAATTTTGCTTGTGTAATGTCAAATAAATATTAAATTTGATTGTGTGATTCAAATAAGTATCAAATTACATGTAATATAATATCATTGAATGAAATTATGATACACCATAATTTGTGATATTATAAAAATTATATAATTACGAAATTTTTGTTAAAAATGGTAACGATAAATTTGCGTAGATCGCCATCTTTTGCATAATCCATCACTATTGAGTATTCATTTGTAGCTGAATTTTTAGTTATTCCATGATATTTAATATAAACATCACTACACTTAGAGCAGTCAGAATCTAATTTTGAAAAAGTTAATTATATTGAACAAAAGCAATTTAAAAGGTGTTTATTTTACCTCGCTTATAAACTCGGATGTAATTTTCTTTGAATTATGTAATGGTTTCAACATAATGTCAGTTTTTTCCTCTCATTTAAATCTATTCTCTTTATGATCCCATCTTCCAACTATATCCAATGATCCGTTCAACCAGCTTGCTTTATAAATTGACCAAACCCACCTTTTGCAAGATATTCAACATTGGTAAATCTTTCAAAAGGGATCCATTCAAATACTTTATCGTTATTTATGTTATTGCATTTATTTATTAGACTGTCGATATCTTTATTTCCACTAGACCATCCAACATAAATTCGTTTGCGATATAGAAAACATTCATAACAGATATCATCTCCTTGACATTTGGTACATTCACCACAATCATGAGTATTGTGAACTGAACACTCATTGCAGTAACTCCATCGTTAACAATTCTAACGGTTATTACTACAAACATGAATGTTGTGAACTGAACACGCTTTGCGGTAGTAAACCTTTCGACAATTCCAGCATTTACTGCAATCATAAGTATTCGATGTTTTAGATAACATCTTTAGTTTATTAGTGGTTGTGGTTGACTCATTATATCGATATGTGTGTGAGAAAGATTTGTATCGATTTATGCGTGAAAAATGAAGTTATGTATAAGCCTTTTTTTATGCGTTCTCATGCTACGTACTCTTCTTTTTATTTCATCGTCGTTGAATGCATGTTGTGGACATACATACGTAGCACGTATTCCTGTGTCTAGAATAATCTTTTTAATAAGCGATGGTAAATGACTTTAAATGACCATGACTCTGATGACAAATGACCATTTTAAAAGGTCGCATGACCTACTGGTCAGTTCAAAAAGTCAAGTGATCTCACAATCTTCTAAAATTAAATTTTGTGACATCATTATAAAAATGAATAAAAATAACTCACTAAAACTCTATTGGTTGAAAACTAAATCACATGACAAATGACCTAAATGACCTAATGATTAATGACCTAGGTTATTTGAGGTTACAAATGAGCAAATGACCTGGTCATTTACCATCACTGGTTCAACAGCATCCATTAAACGATGAGAATAAACATGTACGTATTAAATGATAGATATGCATTTAGTGTGTTGCTTTGCACTTTCAAAAACTTCCTAATGTAAATTAACACAATGGTGTAATATACAAAGATGAACTTCAAAAAAATAAATTTCAAAGTAAGCTTCGCAGATCTTTCAGATTTTTATTGCTCATAGAAACTGATGTTTGAAGCAAAATAAAGTTTAAGTTCTTATATATTATGTTACTATTGCATTTTATATCTTAAAAATAATTTATTATTCTCCAAATAACATATTATTTCATTAAACGAGAAAGAATATATATGCGAGGAAATTATCAACAAGTGATTTAATAATATTGCGGCGAAGTTGGGATTTCATTATGAATAGAAATCGATATGCTTGTAGTACTTGAAAAGCTGTTGTTAAGGACATATCGTATTAAAGTAATAAGAAAGCTTTGAATTTTTCTAAGGAAGGAATGAAAGAGGAAACAGCTTCTTTAACGTGATTGGAATTCGCAAATAGTGGTTAGTTTTCAGCTTATTAATTGAAAAATACTGTCTCAACCATAATAAACTTCCCTAGCCGTTATAAAAAAAATGCCACCGCATATTTTTTGATAACTTTCCAAGAAAACTTAGAGCATATGAATTTTCATGTAGCCTGCTTACTTTTATCAGAAAATAAACATTACAAATACAATCCGAGAATACCAATGTAATTTATAATTGTGTATCAATATATACATACAAAGCAAAATATTTTAAAAGAATGAATTTGTTTTATGGAGAGAAAATTGCATTTTTACCAGTATTGGAGTTTTGTATAAATAAAAATTCTGAGATTGTTTCGATTCAATAAACTTTTTCTCAATATCTTGCAAAGTTTCAAATTATCATATATCTTCATCGTCATCAACACGTGCAATTCGCAAACGCATTTCGCTCGATATTTCTGCTAACAGCAACACAATTTGTTGCATCAACAACACCAGACCAGATTCCGCAAAGTACACCGGAGATCTTGATGGCAATTTGTCGGTATTATTGTTTGTGCTTGGAATAGGTGAGTTTGACAAACTTATCAATTTTTGCGCCGCATTTTAATCGAGAAGGACATTGTGTGTTATGTATAGATTTGAGAGGTCAAAATACTGGTTCTAATTGGCTGGACGATAAAAAGGGAAAAGCAATGACGAAATTAATGAAGTCTAAGATGTCAAGTGAATATCATACATGATATATTAACGTTAAGTGCAAGAAAATGTTATCAATCCTACTTGCCAATTTGGTTTAGATCCGTTCTTAACTGGCTATTTCTTAAAGAAGATTTTACTTTTACAAGTGCTACTAGAAAGAATCACTACTTCCTGTAAAATGTTTGACAAACATTAAGTCCAATTTTTATTTATCATTTTTTTCTCCCACACTAATCTATAAATTCAGTATTAAGAAACGAAAAGATTGATAAAAATATGGGATCGAATTTATCGCGCTCAGTTTTCTCAACATTAAGAAGAGAAATAAATGCTTCTAATTCCTCGATGAATGATAATATGCTTCTAATTCCTCGATGAATGATAATATGTTTCTAATTCCTCGATGAATGATAATTTTACTAATATCTGATTTAGGCAGACTGTCAACAAACTAGAAATGCGCCATAATTTAAATATATCGGAGGTAGAAGTTGTTATAGTGAAGAGTCTTCGTCATGTTCACCCCTACAATATATTACCAGAAATTTCAAAAATGAATTTGTCACTTGGGAACCTGATATCCTGATTCGTCTCAACTATACGAATCTAATATCTTTGTTCGAAAGAGGTCATTGGTATCGGGTTCCAAAGTGACAAATTCATTTTTGAAATTTCCGGTAATATATTGTATATGTGGTAAACATTCTTGTTAATTATTTTGGATATTAGATAGCCGTATTTTAATATTTTAATGTTAGTTGCCTACAGATATTGATGAAGCAAATCAGATACAACAACACTTTGCTCTCAAACGCATATGTAATGTTAATTATATAGCACTAATTAATGAATTAATAGTTACAGGAAGCAAAATTTGGTAAGTCAACATACAGTATTCGTCGCTTTCCCTTCACATAAATTTAACATTAATCTAATTAATAGGATGTTTGCTGTGGACCTGGTCACTTGGAATTGCACAAGAATTTCCATACGCACAAGTTTACGGTATTGACATGTGTGTAAATTTTCCAAGTGAAATCAAGTCATCAATTGCGAATTCGCCAAGGACAATATCTATAATGGAAAGATAATTATTTCGACTATTTATTTATACGATGTTTGTTTCTGATTATGACAATTACACGATGGCCAAACCTAATGCAGGAAATTAAACGCGTTTTAAAGCCTGGAGGAATTATTGAGCAGCATGAATTAGATGCAATTGGTATATAAAAGCATTTTGAGATTCTAAGCTTTGTATAAGATAAAAAATTTTATATGTTTGGATAGCACATAATGCTGGGCCAAAGTTCCAAAATATTCAAAATTATGGTAAGTTAAGCTTTGTCATAGCTGCACACAAATATGCAATGATGAGTTGTATAAGCAACCTGTGACATTGCTCTTTTTTTTAAATTTAATCACATGTATTTTATTAAGTATCACATATTTATATGTGTATAAATATTTATTTGTTACAAGTCGCTTATACACGACGGCAAAATACGGTACTCATTTGTTGTTTAAACGATAATAATTGATAGCGCGAAGCGAAATGACGGAACGAGCAATGGAAAAGTAAGATATCAGAATATCAATATATGATTGTCTTGTATTTTTTTTAAAATAAATTCTCACTTTAACCATCATATTGCTTGGGCTCGAAAATGGCTGTGTCATATCACGGTTTTAATCAACACTCACCTACTTTGCGTCAGAATAGAAAATTTTTTTAGTTTTAAATTACTGTATGCATTTTTGCTACATGCATCACTTTTGATTACGTATCTATTGCACATTCTACAAGTTAACGTTAATGTCTTGTCCTAACGCTAATAGCTAATAATTTCCTCGTTAAGGTTAATCCCGAATCCAAACTTATACATGTATAAAAATCTCCAAACTCATGTGATAAATTTAATACGTAAAAAAATGAATTTAATTAAAGTATTTCTCATTTAAACTAATATTTCCAGCTTGTAGCAGATAGGTATCTATACACACTATAAAATTACATTTCATGTTAAATATTAAAAAAATCGTGAAAACACAGTAAATTTGCTCATATCGATATATCGATTACGTACTCGCGGATCACAATCGTTATGAGTAGCATTCATTCAATAAAATCACTAATACATCATAAACACACACATGTTACTAACGTTAAAGACACAAAACAAGACTCATACACATACACAGTCAACCTCCGTTGATCCAAAGTGGTAGAAACTTTATCGAGGCAGGTTTGCTATAACTGTTCCTGAACATAAACTCGGTTTATGCAGATTTAATTAATACATGTACTTTCTGTTTACCCGTTATCAAATCACTGACCTGCTTGTAAGCCACATGAAATTTTAGATGCGTTCACCCCGCCCATAACTACGTACTGGTACACATTTCTAATTGTTTTTTCTAAATAAGGAAAATACAAGTTAATCGTTATTAATTTTTTCCATGGCAATCTTCTATCCATGCCATCTAAATTTGAAAAGAATCCTGTACGATCCAGGAGAAAAAATGATTCGTTATTTTTTTGTTTATAATCGTTCTATATATATACTGTATATCGATATCTATAGTGCTCTAAACCGGAATTTCTAGAAATAATGACAGAACGATCACAAAAACTTTATTGTTACGTATATTAAATAAACAAACAATAACGATAACAAAAAAAATGTCCGATAACCGCCAAATACTACTGTCAAAGATAAAAACGTGCTAGCTAATTTGTTTGTGCGTTTAAATTACAAATTAGATTGCAGACATCCAATACCTTTAGGCGATTCTTCGTATCTCATTAGTGCGTTACATTACTTGGTGTTGCAATCTTGTGACAGCGGAGAAATTTCGAAATTATATGTATGTACGTACATCGATATGTATACTGTAATTAATATTGATACATTAATAGATTTTCGCTATCTATCACTATTATATGATTGATATTAATAATTACGTAATAACTAAAAAATAAAAGCACAAGCTATACTTTTTTGTTTCTCTTGTTATTTGCTTGTTTCAAGTTTATCCTTCACATTGGACTTTCAAGAATAAAAACTGTTTTTCCAAATTCTTCGCGTAAACGATATTGAAACTTAAAAGCTGCGCGGTTTATTCAATAAACTCAATTTTATCAAATTATGGGGGCTAATTTATCAGTGCATAAAAACAAGAAAACCAAGAGAAAAAACAAAAAAGATAAAAATGTTCGTTCAGTAGGTAACGAAACTAGTTCTACTAGTGAAAAACAAAAACAAGGCTTTAATTATATTGGAGGTCGAAAGTTTTATGATATTGTACCATATGTAGTAAGTTTCATAAAGTTTGTTTCTCTTTATCAAAGAATAGTCTATTTATCCTATCGATATTAGTTGCCCGCAGATATTGAAGAGGACGATCGCTTACATCAACAACATTTCGCGCTCAAATATATTTGTGGAGGGAATTACACGGCTCCAATTCATGATTTAATAAAACCTGGAAGTAAGATACTGGTAATTCAAAAAATAATAACGTCACCGATTTCAAAAATTAAAATTTGAATTAACTAATAATACGAACTTTATTGTATTTTTATTTAAGGACTTGGGTTGTGGTCCAGGCCAATGGACACTAGAAATGGCACAAGAATTTCCACAAGCAGATGTATATGGTATCGACATAAACGCGAATTTCCCAACTACAATTAAACCAGCGAATTCACATTTCCTAGTTGGTAATGTTACAGAACGCTTACCTTGGGAAGATAACTACTTTGATTTTATTTGGATACGATATTTGTTCGTTGGAATTATGGATGCAGATTGGCAGAATTTATATCATGAGGTTAGGCGTGTACTAAAACCAGGCGGAATACTTGAACATCATGAATGTGATGGGCTTAGTAAGTAACATATTGGTTAAGTTATCTTTTTAACACATACATATATGCGTGTTAATTACAAATCACAACTTTTTAACGAAAAAATTTAGCTGTAAATCCTGGCCCGAAATTTAAAAAATTCCTAGGACATTGTAAGGATCATATTAACTTTTTTTGATCTTTGAAACTAAAAAAATAATTAACCATTTATTAATTATTTCAATAGTTGAAGAAGCATTTATTTCACGTGATCTAAGCTTTCGATTGGCATGTGAATTAAGCGAACGAATGACGATGGCTGGATTCGAAGATGTACAGCCAGCGTACATATCTGTAGCAATTGGAAGGTATGTAAATAAAAATTGATTTTTTTATTAAATCACTAAATTAATTCTATATTATATTATATTATTTTATTTTAAAATATAGACGAGGGGGTAAAATTGGAGAAATATGGGCAGCGAACTTAAAAGACGGTACTTTCGCTATGAAACCTTGGCTCTCGAAACTTACCGGCTTAACAGACGACGAGTACGACTCGGTTGTTCAATATATTTTCGATTATGAAATTTTCGAATATGATGATTATCATAATCATCATATGGTTTGGGCTCGGAAAAATCAATGATTGTCGTTATGCCAATTTGTATTATGTTGCTACGTAATTCTAAATTATATGTACAGTACATGCATTTTCATTTTTTACATTTGTACTATTTTTACTAAGTTAAAGTCTGTATATTTATTAATCTTTTTCTATACTTCCCTGAATGATCAAAATTCTTCTTTAAAAGTATCGTCATATGATAAGTTTCTACTATCTTGTTTATAAGTTTTAGTATTAACGTTAAAACAAAAAATGTGTTTATATAAAATTCAATAGCGATCCCTTTGTGACTTTCATTCGTACTTGCACAAGTACTTTCTCAGATACTTAAATCGGTTTTATGGGGTTAAAACTGATTGTATTGAACTGGTTCCGATCTCTATAAATTTGGGTACCAAATATGTAGAGAATAAGCAGGGTACAGAGATTTTATCGAGAAGAGGGCCTTTGAAATTGTTAAGTTACGGAACGCATTCAGACAAATTGTTTGGAAAATCATCGTATTCCCTCGCGTCCATAATTTAACAAACAATTCCGAACACTGCTTTTCTGTTGATTGTAAGTTAAGTCGAAATTGCTTTCTACTTTGCCTAATTTCAAAGAACTTTCTTGGTTGACAAAAAATATAAAGTTCGTTTGCACAGCAAACAACTTTCTTTGTTATATATTTCTCTTTTTCGTACCAGATTTGGTTTCAAGCCATTTTTTCAATTAATTTAGCATCCGTGCTTAAAAAAGCTACTCTTTATTTCTTTATTGATAAAATAAAGTTTATTTAAAAATACGACATGCGAAGCTAATGAATTAAATATCAATTAGAAGAATTATTACTATAATATACAGTATATTAAAAAATATGTTAGCATAAAAAGCATTAATTAAACTTTGTGAGTTTATAAACACGTTGCTAATTGACGGATAGCGGTGTCATTATTAACTTTCTGGAGTATCAATTGATCGAGCAATTTCTAAGTGGTTGAAAGGTAAAAGAAATTGTGAATTTAATACTTTGAGACTTATCATATCCCCCCCCCCCCCCCCAAACGGATTGTATGGATTATGCCATTTATATCTCGTATCATAAAGTGCCAGCTCGTTAAATTCCAGCTTCAGCCGCACATTAGTAAAAATTATTCCTTCGTCTTTCAGAGTAAATATTTAGTATAGGGGTTTTCCATGGTGACCGTCTGTTTATATGCAGATTCCGCAGGATTTAGATCATTGCGTAAAACCGCAGAATAATTTATTCTAAGCAACTTTTATGAAAGAGCTTCAATACTATCGGAAAGAATTATATATCGCTCAACTAACTGTAATTTCCCATCAAACATCCATAAACATTCTCTCAAAAACATAGCGAAAAACAAGAATACCGCAACCTTCTTTAGTCATTTGATGACTTTGTGTTATTTACTTCCATAGTTATTTTAAATGCCTTTGTTTCGAAAATTTATGATCGTTGCTACATGTATTAATTTTTGTGTACTTGGCGAGCAATTTGTCCCACAATTTCAATCACTTTCAATATACTAATAAGAATTCCTGCAGATCCGATCCTATTTCGTTCTGCAAGTTGATAGCTTATCCTCATAGGAGGACTTTCGTGTGATTGGCTGATGTAAATCAATTGTCCGGGGTTGTCCGGATAATTTATTTATAT